GGGCCGTCACTCGCCCCCCCCCCCCCCCCGTGCGCGCTCCGTCTTCACTCCGCCCAGGGCGCGCCACCCCCCGCCCACCCCCCGTTCGCGTTCGGCGTCGCCGCGTCCCTGGGTCCACGCGGGGAGCTGCAGAGGCTCGAGCACGAGGTGCGAGGTGCGAGCTGGACGTTGTGAGCTACAGCGCTGGGCGCAGCGCGTGCGCCAGGGGTTGGCAAAAAGGCAACTCGCACTGTCGCTGCTCAGTGGGTGTCAGAGTATGAGTTGGTGCGCGACGTTGTCAGCTGCGACGCTGGAATCAGTGTGTCAGGAACTGGGAATGGCAACGCGCTCCGGCGCCATTGCCTGGATGTGGGAAGCCAAGTGGGAGCCCGCTGTCATCAGTTGCAGCGCTGGGATCAGGTGCGAGAAGGGTGGGCACTGGCAGCAGGCCCCGTCGATGCCCAGCAAATGCGGCAGGCGGCATTGGAGCCCAACGTGATCAGTTACAGCAGTGGGATCAGAGTGTGCGTGAAAGGCGGACAATGGCAGCAGGCGCTACCCTAGCTCGGCGGGCGCGGTGCTGCGAGCTCCGCGAGTGTCCAACGTGAATCTGGAGTCCAACATAATCAGCTACAACGCTGGGGTCGGGCGCGCGAGAAAGGCGGGCAGTGGCATCGGCTGTCGCTGCGCAGCGAGTGGTGGAAGGCGACGCTTCAGCCAGACGTTGCAGTTACATTCCCGAGATCAGCGCGCGTGGGAAGGTCGGGCAGTGGGCGCAGGCCCCGTCGCTCAGCGAATGCGACGGGCAAAATTTGAGCCAGACGTCACCGGCTACAGCGCTGCGGAGGCTGGAGGTGGCATCGCACACTGCTCTTTCACAGGGGACTGCGGCGAGCCTTTTCTCGCCGCCAGGCAGGCGGGGGGGATGCTGTGGCCCGCTTCCTGCCCTGGGGCAGGAAGTGGGCCTCGGCGCCCCCCCCGTCTGCCTGGCGGTGAGCGCGACCTTGCCGGGTCACCTCTCTTCAAATACAGACTCATGCGGCGATCAGCTGCGACCCCCGAGGACCAACCACCCCCACTGTCTTGTCACACTACAGATTCACATCAGTGGCGGTTTGCTGCGACCCTGGAGGACCAACAATCAAGACACCAACCAACACATAGAGATCATAGCGGCGATCAGCTGCGACCCCCGAGGAAATGAAAGAGAGATCATAGCGGCGATCAGCTGCGACCCCCGGGAATGACCACGGCCCCTGACCCACGGATTCGGGGTCAGGCTGAGGGGGGGGGGGCGTTGCATCCCCTCGCCTCTCCCCTCTCGGGCCAGGCGAGTGCCCCCCGCCCTTAGCCCCTGGGCCCGCCTGACGCACTGCAGACGTCGGTGTGGTGCCCCCCCCCCCCCCCCCAGCGCCGCCCGTGTTCCTCGCTGCCCGTGGTCTGGCTCATCACTCTCAGCGGCGGCTAGCTGCGGCCCTGGAGGACCACGTGGTGTGTGTTGGCGTTCCCTGGGTCTTGGGCGGAAGTGCCAAGCGGCGGACTGGGTCAGACTTTGCCCCCTGGCCCTCGTGTCTACCACAGTGCAGCTCCCCCAGGCGCATCGCCCTATGACATCGGCTCGCCCCCTCGCACAGGCGCCACTCGCCTATGGGCATCGGCGCGCCTTGCTCGCACAGACGCCACGCGCCTCGGGAGGCGCAGCCAGGTTTGTTTTCTTGGGGATACGCTTGCCCCCGGTGCAGTTTGGCGTCCTCCAGAAGGCAGCACTACCACCAGTGCCGCCCCCCCCCCACCCCCTCCTCGCCCCCCCCCCCGACTCTCGCCGATGCGAATGCTCACCGCCCCAGCTGGTCCCCCCCCCTCACTCTGCAGAGGCCTGACGCCGTGCCGGCACGCACTGCGTGGCCCGCAGTCGCTTGGTTCCCCCTTGCGCTGTGGGGTGGTCTGACGGTTGGTGGCATCGCCGCGGAATGGTTCAGCCTTCCGCAGCAGCTACAGCACCCCAGGCCCGCCACCAGCTTCGGGCAGGTTGCGTTGCACCACGTTCCGCGACAGCTCAGCCCCCCTAGCTGGCACGCGTCGTCTGGGGCGTTTGGAGCCTGGCGCCCCACCGGCGACTCACTCCACCGGCCTCCCACTTGCCCCCAGTAGATTGACGGACTTGGTAATCCTGGTTCACGTTTCAGACTGTGGCAGGCACCGCATTCCATGACACTTTGTCTGTGCACGTGCTCGAGCTCTCAGGACACCCCTGCCGTCAGCTCCCCTTCAGCGCGGCTGCTTTGTGAGCGGGCCGGCCGGCCTGTGCCTGTTGTAGCTAATTCGCCTCGCTTGTGCCCCGGATTTTGCTTTCGCCGCCTGACCCTTGTCTCGTGGCCGCGACCAAAAAGTATCCCCACCAGCCTTTCGGTAGTACTGTGCCCCACTTCTGCTGTCAATTAGTCTGTGGCGCGCACCCGCTTCGACTTGACACGCCGCCGGCGCATCCGCCCGCGGCCGTTGACTAAAATTATCCCGGCAAAGCAACCGAACAGCGATGTGTCGGAGCATATCTGGAAGCATTCCCCTTAAGATTCAGATGGGAATCCAGTTGTAGAATTCTGCTGTTCTCGCAGTCGTAGTCGCATTCGTGATGACAGTCGCAGTGGCAACGGCAGTCGCAGTCACAGCCTCAGCCTCAGCCTGCCTCAGCCTCAGCCTCAGCCTGCCTCAGCCTCAGCCTGCTTCAGCCTCAGCCTCAGTCTGCCTTCAGCTTCGGCCTCAGCCTCAGGCTGCCTCAGCTTCAGCCTGCATCAGCCTCAGCCTCAGCCTGCCTCAGCATCAGCCAACCTCAGCCTCAGCCTCAGCCTGCCTCAGCCTCAGCCTCAGTGTGCTTCAGCCTCACCTCAGCCTCAGTGTGCTTCGGCCTCGGCCTCAGCCTCAGCCTGCCTCAGCCTCAGCATCAACCTGCTTCAGCATTCAAAATGTGGCCCAAGAGTGAAGTTCTGGGAACTCGAAAAACACGAAGTGGCCTACAGTTGGCTGTGGGGATTCAAAATCATCCCCAGGAATGAAGTTTTGGGAATTCGAAGACCACGAAGTGGCCTACAGCTGGTTCCGGGCATTCAAAATGTGGCCCAGTAGTGGAGTTTTGGGAACTCGAAGACCACGAAGTGGCTTACAGTTGGCCCCGGGCATTCAAAATGTGGCCCGGGGATGGCGTTCTGGGAACTCGAAGACCACGAAGTGGCTTACAGTTGGCTCCGGGCAGTCAGAATGTGCCCCGGGAGTGGAGTTTTGGGACCCCGAAGACCACGAAATGTGTAGTTGTTTGCTTAAAGCGACTTCCGCGGATTCTCCCCGGCACCCGTCCGGCATCTGCCCAGACCCCCTTTGGGGCGTCATGATGATCTCTTTTGAGCTTACCAGAAACCTATCAGTCTTCGCTGTTAGGTTAAAAAATATCCCCACCAATCCATCCATAAACGATATCCAGGCGAGTTGAGCTGACGAGGGAAGTGCGAGAGCAAAGATGTGGACAGCCGAACCGTGCGAAGGGGTCAGGAGGAGAAGGATGAGGCTGGATGGATGAATCAGGGAGTGGGGAGAAGGAGTATGGATAGGATGATGAAGAGGAGAAGAAGGAGAAAGAGAAGGAAAAGGAGGAGGAAGGAGGAGCAGGAGGAGGAGGGCAAGCAAAAGGGCTAGAGGTCTCTTGGATGCCTCTCGGAGCCTCTTGGGATATCTCTTGGGCGCTTCTTGGAGGCCTCTTGGGACGTTCTGGGGGTCTCTCGGCGGTCCTGGGGGGCTCTTGGGCGTGTTGGATGCCTCGGGGAGGCCTCTTGGGGCCGTTGGGATCCTCTTGAGGGCCTCCTGGGGGCCTCTTGGGCCATCTTGGAGCCATCTTGGGGCCATCTTGGGAGCCTCTTGGGGCTATCTTGCCTTGCCCTCCCCAAGAGGCCAAAATCGAGCCAAAACTCTTGGTAATACTGATGATTTCTTCGCCGAGGCCGTTTTGGGCGCTCGAACTACCCGTGGCCGGCCCCGTCCAGGTCCAGGGGAGGGGGCAGGGGGAGGGGTGAACTCCTCCCCGAAGGGGAAGGAGGGGTGGACGAGGAAACGCCGTCAACCACCTACGCCCAGAGGGCTGGTGAGATGCTGGAAAAAGTGACGGGGGCCAGCCCTTCCAATCTTTCCAGCCTTGGCCAGTTTCCCTCTCTTTTTTATTGCCTTGGCGGCCGCATCCCTACGGTTTCAGGCTCGCTTCACCCACTGCCAGTGTTTCCAGCCCCGGCCACTTCAACTTTTACTGATTTTCCAATTACACTTTTTCCAGCTTCCCTGTAATACTAGGTGTGCGTCGCCTCCCCAGGGGCTCCGCGCGCACCGAGAAGTCTCAGATTATATGCGTCGTGGCGGGAACGTTCTGGCCACACCGCTCGGGAAACGGCATACTACAAGGTGGGCAGACTATGTGTGCGGGTTGGACGCGCGCCTCCAAGGAGGACATATAATGTTGTACTGGCCTCCGGCCATTGCCGCCGATCTGGGGGGCCCCGGATTCGGTGATCTTCGCGGCTCTGTGGCCTCCTCCCTCTTCGATTCTTCCGGTGCTCTTTCTTCTCCTCTGGGTGGGGGGGCTGGAGCGGTCCCGGGGGGGGGTCCGGGGAGGGTTCCCAGGGAAGGGTCCTGGGGGCGGTCGCGGCCAGATCTGCAAGGGGGACATATCGTATTTGTGTGTCTCTGCGCGTCCCACTGCAGCAGCGCGGGGAGACCACAGGTCGCCCCCCCGTCTGCGCCTTCTCGGGGGGGGGGGGGGCGGCCTGGCCCGCGCCCATCGGTGCCAGGCGGCCTGTGCTGTATCTGCGGGGGACCTCCTCCGTCCCGAGCGTTGGTGCCTCCTCTCGGGCTCGACGCGGCTTCGGCGTGGATTCTACGCGGACGAGGCGCGGATCCGACGGGTCCGACATGGCTCCGCACGGACGCGACGCGGACAGGGGCGCGGCGGGACAGACGAGGCCCCTCGGAGATGCAGCACGAAGGCGGCGATGTCGTGCGCCTACATCTTCAAGTTCATCGTCATCGGCGACGCGAGCGTCGGAAAGACCTGCCTGCTGCTCCAGTTCACGGACAGGCAGTTCCGCGCCGACCACGCGCCGACGATCGGGGCCGCGCGCTCGGCTCGACGTCGTCGTCGACGTCGACGTCGTCGTCGCCGCCGTCGTTGTCGTCGTCGTCGTCGTCGACGACGTCGACGTCGTCGTCGTCGTGGTCATGGTCGTGCTGGTCGTCGGGGCCTCGCTGCCGCGGAGGGGCTCGAGTTCAGGCCCACTTTGAAGACCGAAGTAGAGAAGGGTTCCACGTGAACAGCAGTTGGACGTGGGTTAGTCGATCCTAAGAGACAGGGATGTTCCGCACACGCAGGCTTTGCCTCGTCTCTCGAAAGGGAATGGGGTTAATATTCCCCAACCAGGACGTGGATACTGTATGGCAACGCAAGAGAGTTCGGTGACGCAGGGGGGGAGCCTTGGGAAGCGTTGTTTTGTTTTTAAACCGTCTCGTACCCTGAAATCAGACTGTCAGGGGATAGGGTTAATTGGCGGGTGAAGCACCTTGTCTTCCGAGGTGTCCGGTGCGATACCAATTGTCCTTGAAAAGCCGAAGGGACAACTTATTGTCACCTCTGGTCGTACCCGTAACCGCATCAGGTCTCCAAGGTTAGCAGCCTCTGGTCAATAGAAGAAAGTAGGTAAGGGAAGTCGGCAAAATAGATCCGCAACTTCGGGAAAAGGATTGGCTCTGAGGGTTGGGTATAGGGGTCCTTGGATGTATGTTCGAGCTGAGCAGAAGCTACTTGACGTCTTCTGGTGGATAGTGGTTCGCGCATGGCGAGAATTCCCGTTCAAGGAACGCCTTTCGGAGCTTTCCCTGTGCAGTGAACAACCATCTAAGAACTGGAGCGGACAAGGAGAATCCGACTGTTCAGTTAAAACAAAGCATTGCGATGGCCTCAAAAAGTGTTGACGCAATGTGATTTCTGCCCAGTGCTCTGAATGACAACGTGATGAAATTCAAACAAGCGCGGATAAACGGCGGGGGTAAGTATGACTTTCTTAAGGTAGCCAAACGCATCGTCATCTTATTCGTGACGCGCATGAATGGATTCACGAGATTCCCACTGTCCCTATCTACTATCTAGCGAAACTGCAGCCCAGGCAACGGGTTTGGGATAATCAGCAGGGAAAGAAGACCCTGTTGAGCTTGACTCTAGTCCGACTATGTGAAATGACTTGGGAGGTGTATAATAAGGTGGAGTTTTGGCAACCCTGAAATACCACTACTCTTAATGCCAGTTTACTTTTTCCGTTAGACTGAGACTTGCACCACAGCGAGTGTTGGATCTCAGGGTGTCTTTTTTGATGGTTGATCTATGCGGAAGACATGGTCACGTGGGGAGTTTGGCTGGCGTGGCACATCTGTTAAATCATAACGCAGGTGTCCTAGGGTGAGCTCAACGAGAACGGAAATCTCATGTGGACCACAAGGGGAAAAGTTCGCTGGATTTGGATTTTGAGTACGAATGCAAACTATGAAAACATGGCCGATCGGTCCTGTAGGTCTGAGAAATGTTCAGCTAGAGGTGCCAGAAAAGTTACCACAGGGATGATTTAATTGTGGCAGCCAAGCGTTCATTGCGACGTTGCTTTTTGATACTTCGATGTCGGCTCTGCCTATCATTGAGACGCAGAAGTCCCAACGTGTCGGATTGCTTACCCGCCAATAGGGAACGTGAGCTGGGCTTAGACCATCGTGAGACAGGCTAGTTTTACCTTACTGATGAACTTGATACTGCGACAGCAATCGAAGTCAATACGAGAGGAACACTTCGTTCAGATATATGGGGTCTATCAAGGGGGCTCAAGGAGGAAGAGGAGAACGACCGAGGACCGAGCAGAAGGAGGAGGAGGACGAGGGGGAGGGGCAGGAGAAGGAGGAGGAGGAGGATCGAGGAGGAAGAGGGGCATGATGATGCTGATGCTGAGGAGGAGGAGGAGGAGGAGGAGGAGGAGGAGGATAAGATGCAAGCGCGTTCGACCCAGCTCATCCATACCCTTGCAAAGAGAAGCGAAGTACGGTGCATCCTGGATGAAGCCGTACATGTATCTGCGTCCGTAGATTATTGTGTAAGGTTCGTGCGTCGGCCGCTCTGTAGGGGGAACACCACTGGCCACAAGCAGGGACCTCGTTTGGGGAAAACCTGAGGCCCCGCTGAGGCACCATCATCCTGCAAAGAAAGCATGAGAAGTGACGAGTGGACCTCTCACGAAGTGAGGAGGAGAAGGAGGAGGATCGAGGAGGAGGAGGAGGAGGAGCATGGATGACCGAGGATCGAGGAGGACCAAGGAGGATAACTATCAGGATTACCGGGATCACAAGAGCGACTAAACCAGATTGTGAATTCAGGCAGTTTTGGGAACTCAGTCGTGAGCGATACGATCTAAATACTCCCGACGCGTCTTAGATATGGGTTCCACACGTGGCTCTCCAAGACCCCTGAGCTGGGCCTCATCCGTAATTCGCCACGTTTGTTCAGGCTGTGCGATCTAATCCCCAGCGTAGGTCTTCAGCTTTCTTGCCCCATCGGAGCACTCCAGTTTTTCGCAGTCCGCCATGCGTTTCTCCGTGGGTTCGGCCCACGTCGGCATTGCGCTCGTGACGCTCGGCAGTTTCGTCTAGCAGCTCATCCGCTTCCACCCGCACCGCCTGGGCCCCGACGCCGCAGGCAGCCAGGACACGGGCGAAGATTTCAAGCCTGCGACGCGCGGGCAGGCGTACGCCGCGATCTCGTGGGCCCTCGGCGCCTGCCTGGCTTTCGGGCTGACGCACTGGGCGACGGGCGTGCTCCAGGACTCGAGGAGGAGGAGGAGGAGGAGGAGGAGGAGGAGGAGGAGGAGGAAGAGACGTCGGCATGAGCACAGTTTCTCGGAGTTCCGCGCGGGTCTCTTGGATCGGCGCCGGGCCGCCCTGGCGCCAGGGAAGGGGGGTGCTCGTGCCTGTTGTTGTTCTTCCAAGGATGAGACCTTGACCTTCAGCGGCAAGGCTGCGATTGACCGCGCGGGCGCGATCGAGTTCATGTGCATCATGTCCGGGCTGCTCTCCTCGCTCTTCAGCTATGCCCTGCTCACCCGCCCTGGCGGTAGGGCCCTCGCCTGCCAGTGCCACGAGGTCCTCGGACTGAAGGACGGCGTTCCCTCCGTGGCAAACCTTCTGGTTGGAGCAGTCCACTTCCTGGCCCTCAGCGTGCAGCGCCACGTGCTCGAGAAAGACCTGACCGATGCAGGTCCTCTGCTGACCATTGTGAGCAGCGACACGGTCGTCATCAGCATGTATTTCTACCTGTTCGCGGGAGAGGTGGTGAGCCGTTCTGGAGTGTTCGGCATTGTCCTTGTCCTGGTCGGGAATGTTGTCTCCTCCTCGGCCGTAGCGGCGTTGTCGATCGAACCTGTAGCAATGGCCTTAAGTCTTGTCACCATGCTGTTGTTTGCCGCGGCGGCCATTTGGATGCGTCTCGGATCCAAAGGTACCTCCGCGGCCGCTAGTTTCGTGATCCGGTGTCAGACGTTGTCTCTAGCAGCCGTGTTGGGCAGTGTCGTACGTGGTGGTATGGATGGCCAGACAGATTTGTTATTTTTTGCAGTTCTCGCTTGTTTGGCTCTCCTACATGATGTTGGTATCTTTTGCATTACGAAAGCTTTGGCAGATCCTTTGGCAGGAGTGTGTTCTGCTATTTGGGGGTCAAATGCTGTAGTGGTGCTCCTCCTGAACATCATTGTCTTGCGCAAGTTCCCGAATGACGTTGCGTTGAGCGGAATGTGCTGTACCGTCGCGGGGATCCTCGTATGTTCGACGTGCAGCCGCAAGCCAGAGGCCGTCCCAATAAAGAACAGCGGCGACAAGGTCGGCTCGGGGTCCGATGCAGATGCTGGGTGTTCTGCGGAGTCAGAGTAGAGGGCTTTCGGTCGCCCTTGCATCCAACTTTTTGACATAATACATTTTAATCATGATCATGTTACTGTCATCCCTTCAGATTGCAGGTCCATCGCGGCCCCCATTGGTCCTGGTAGGCTCCTCAGCGCTCCTGCTTCTTCTCTTGTTGTTATGTTCCTCCTGCTCCATCCTTCTCTCTCAAGCCTGCCACTCGACCCCTCCGCAAGGCAGGTCACGGCCGAGACAAAGTCTTTGAATTCGAAAGCTTGGGCGGTTGCGTGCTGCCCAGTCGACTTCCCGCAACCTTCGCTTCGAGAGCGCGCAGAGCCAGGACGTTGCGCCGGCCAAGGGCCAGCCAGGGCCAGCCGGACATTACCCTCCCTCATCCCCACCTCCTCCTCCTCTGCGAATTCTCTCCTCTCTTCTCCCGGCATTGCGCCTCCACAGCCTTCTCATCATCGCCATTTGCTGTGACGAGTTGGTGCGTAGCTTTGCTGCAATTGTAGACACTGCCTGCAGAAGTGTTATGTAAAAGTGGGATACTACCGCAAATAGCAGGGGTGGCCTATGCTGTTCGCACCGCAGACATTGCCTGCTGCATGTTGCTCTTCCTACTCCGCCTTCTCCTCCTCCTTCTCCTCCTTCCCCTCCTCCCCCATCCTCCTCCTCCTCCTCCTCCTCCTCCTCCTCCTCCTCCTCTCAAGCCATTCTGGTTCAGGTGCCCCTCCGTCCTGTAGCTGCAGTTGCAGGGGACAGCGCATCGAACCATAGTTCCTACCTCCTCGTGGTGCTTGAGGGGCCCGTGCGCTGTGCTGCTCGCGCGGTGGCTAAAGGGGACTCTCTTTCTCTTTCCTGCCATGGGTGGACGTGGACACAAAGGTGCCAAGTCCAAGGGTAAAGGAAACGATGGCAGCAGCACTCGAAGATTATGGACACGGTGTTCGTCTTGTGACACATGTGAGTATAACGACATTCTTCTGGCACGCAATTCTACGTGTGCGTGTGGCACTTGGCTGACTTTGCATTTGGGCAAGAAGAAGGGTGACAAGAGCATGAAGGCTGACAATCAGCTCGTCAAGGCTCCTGCGGCCGTCGGAGGTAAGGGCTCTGCCACTGAGCCCACGCCTCTGGCTAAGCTTGAGGCGGCCACTCTTGTCGCGGAAGATCCAGCTCTTCGTTCGGCGTTGCAGGCTCAGATTGATAAGTTGAAGCAGGCCCAAGGGTCCTCTCAGAGCAGCGACACCTCGCCCGATGAAGCAGTCAAACGTGCATCAGGAGCAGTACGGGATGCCACGCTGAAGCACGACCAGGCCATCCAGTCCCTCATCAAGGCCAGGAACAACTTGTCTCGAGCGGAGGCTCGCGAGAAGGAGACTTCTCTGGCACTTGCGCGGGCTGAACGGCAGAAGTTGACGGCTACTAAGGCCCTGGCGTCCAGCATGGGTATCGCAGCTCCAGAATCTGGCAAGGAGGGCTTCTTCGGAGCGTGCTTCGACGAGACTTTCTTCCAGAACATAGACGGCATTCCAGGTATTACAGACACCGAGAAAGACGAACTCAAGGAGATCGAGCGACAGCTCAAAGGCTTCAAGACGCAGATGGAGACCAATAGTGAGGAGATCATGACCTGGGTCAACAAGAAGGAGCAGATGCAGACGCAGCTTCACGACAGGTTGGCAAAAAAGAGACGTGCTGATGGCGCTGGGGGCGACGATCCCAAGGTAGCCAGCTCGACTCCAGTCGACCTCACCCAGGAGTCTCCTGCAGCTCAACTCCAGCGTGAAGCTGATCGTATTAGTGAAGTCAAGCTACGGGCAGCGGAGAAGGCAGCGGCAGCCAAGGATGCAGCATCCAGCAGTGCATCAGCGGCGGCGGCGACCACTCCCACTGGAGCTTTGTGACCTTCCTTGGGCGCCAGCACGCCTCCCCCGGTGCTGGCGCAATCCATCGAGGAGGCGCGCGTTTACGGCCGTGACGACTTGTTAGTCCTTGCACGCCCCGACCCCTCGGGGGCCGCCAGCCTCCTGGGCGCTATGGGAGACCCTGGGGGACCATCAGCGCCCAGGGTGCAGCAAGGTTTGGCGGCCCTCGAGTCAGGAGGCTTGACGGGCAGTGCAGGCCAGTCAGTCACGGCACGCGATCTTCAATTTCGAGAAGGCTCAGCTGGCGTGGTCAAGTCTGGCAGGTCCAAGGATTTCGGAGGCGGGTCGGCACATCGGAGCGCTTCGGCGCCGACTACGGCTTCTGAGTCCGAGGTCTTCCAGGTTTTTTACAGCAATGTCACCCAGCTCGGGCCCCAGGCTATCAGATTTTTTCAGGGGAACGTCTCTAGGCACCAGGTCTGGGGCTTCGCCGAAACGCATGTCGACGAGGCTTCTACGGCCAAGTGGGCCAAGGAGGCACGCGCTTTTTCTCATCGGTCCTTTTTTAACCCTGCTAGGCCCTCGGGCAAAGAAACTTCGGAGGCGCAAATTTCCAAGGCCGACGAAGGGGGCGAGGCTTTTTTCGTGGAGGGACTTAGGCAGGTGCAACCAACTGCTGATGCCAAAGTTTTTCCCGAGCTCGCTGTTGCCTCCTGTTCTGCCCTCGATGGTTTCCTTCCCATCACAGTGCATATGCAAGGGTATTCGATAGTGCCTGTGCTCTTTTACGGGCTCCACTCCCAAGGGCTCTCTTGAGATAATGCCCGTAGGTTGACTCGTTTGGGAGCTTTCGTTTCTGCGCTTTCGTTTCCCTGGATCATCATGGGCGACTTTAATATGTCTCCGTCTGCGCTTAATGAATGCAAGTTTATTGACAATCTCGAAGCGGTCGCCATGACCGCGGACATTGAGGTCACTTGCGTCACAGGCACAGGCAGCAGTCACATAGATTACCTCGTGGCCAGCGTCTCAGCCAGACCGTGCATTCTCGGAATTCAAGCCAGGCTAGACGTGCCATGGGGCACTCACTGTGGTTTAGTCGTTCAGCTAGCAGGTAGTAGTCAGTCACTCGTCACCCGCGCTTTGCAGTTGCCCGCTAAGCTACCGCAGGTCTCCCGTCCTGGAACTCTTCCTCAGGTCGGGGGTCGGGCCAGCAAGAGCAAGGCCAAGAGAGCCCAGGCCAGACAGCGAGCAATCGAATCTTTTCGTGAAGCGTGTCAGGAGTATTTCGGAGATCTGCTCGGCCAGTCGGGCTCTGGAGGTGCCGAGGCGCCTAGGCCGCAGGCCGAGTCAGATCCCTTCGATCTTGATCCAGCGCTTTGGGGCGAGGACGAGGATATTTCATTAGTTCCTGAAGCAGACCTTGGAGAGGTCTGGCAGAATGATCAGCTGAATTCGGACCCCCCCACCACGTTTGAACCCCCAGGTCAGGATGTTCGAGAGGAATCTTTCAGCAACGCTGAGCCGTCCAGTCCCTCTTCCTCCATTCCTGACTCCAGCAGGCGTCGCCATTTGGTTCAAGTGGGTTTCGTTCCTCAAGCCTGCAGCGATGTTGTCTCTTTTGTTCTTGAGTCACATGCGTATCAGGCGGGGGGATCGTACATATTGGGGGTCAGCAGTCTAGTCGCAGCTCGGGCTCAGGCTGCCGAAAGAACGATATCAGCTCATCATTCTGCCGATCCTTTGGGAGATGTGTTTCGTTGACGGTCGAGAGCCGACGGCCCAGAACTCATTCGGCAGCCAGTGCAGCAGGCGCAGAAATATCGCGAGCTTCCGCTGTCCGACAAGATTGCTACTTGGTGGGCCAGGGTCTCGGTTATCATTTCGAGGCTCTGCAAACATCGGCAACGGGATGACGGGGGCAAGCAGATCAAAGAACTACTGCATACAGGCATTAAGTTATCTGAGGACGCTCCCGAGGGGGGCCCATGCAGTCATTCTTTCGCATACTTTGGAGCCTTCTCTTGAAGCTTGGGTTCACTACCTCAAGTCTCTCGGGAACCTCGGCGTCGATTTCCTTGTCAAACTTGCTAGCTGGGGCGAGCGAATCTCCAAGAGAGCCCAGCGTAAGGCAATGCGGCGCTCCTTGTATCGTTTTCAGCAGTGGATCGTCGACGGCAGCAAACAAGGCCAAGTTTTTCGGAGCTTGCGTTCGGAGCCAGTTCCAGATCACGAGTTTTTGCATCGCGGGGTTAGACTTTTCATCCTATCGATCTCATCGATGCCAAGGCTGAGAAGTATCACATGCTCTGGTCGGAACATCCAGTCACGCCATCACACGTGTTGGAGCTCATGTCTCGCATTCGTGGTGAGGCAGTCTCGGATGAGCTACCATAACTCACGGTGCAGGGTTTACGTGCAGCGCTTCGGAAAATGCGAGCATCAGCAGGCCTTGGCATCGATCAATTCACGCCTCTCGATTTCGAGAGGCTACCAGATGCGGCATTGGAATCTTTATGTCAATTTTTCACGGCTTGTGAGCAGGCGCTCACCTGGCCCTGGCAAGTACTAGCGGTGTTGGGAAAATTATTAGCCAAGAAGTCTGGAGGGGACAGGGTGATCGGATTACTATGCATGGTGTGTCGTCTCTGGTCCCTGGCGAGAGATGGGCATGCCAAGGTGTGGAATTCGGAGACCACACCAGCATGGGACGCTGCAATCTCTGGCAACTCGGCTTTAAGGGAAGCTTTTCGGAGAGTTCTGGATGCTGAAGTTTGCAAGCGTCTGGGCGTCTCTTTTAGTCAGGCTATCCTGGATATTAAAGGCTTTTACGATTCCATCCTCTGGGACATCCTGGTGGATACCGCGTTGAAACTTGGGTTCCCGTCGGTTATGTTGGGCTTGGGACTTCAGCAATGCATGTCGCCTCGTATTTTGAGCCAGAGCGGGGCTAACAGTCAGGCGTTTCAACCCCACAAATCGATTGTCCAGGGGCTCCGTAACGGGACCAGGTTTGGCAGATGCTTAACTTATTTCATTCTTGAAAGAATCTCCCAGGCTCCGTTTTCGGCCACCCAGGGGATTTGGATTGACGATTTGATGTTGCAAATTGTGGGGTCGCACAGGCCCGTGGTTGATCCTACAGTTCAGTGTATCAGTCAGGTGGCGGAGTCTATGGAAGAGTATCACCTTCAGTTGGCAGACAAGAGTGTTGTTATCAGCCCCGTTCATTCTGCTGCGCAGCAAATTGCATGTCGGCTAAAGCGTCGACGTATTCAAGTCAAGGCAGTTTTGCAGGCGTCGTATCTGGGCATCGACCTAGGCGCAGGAGTCAGGCACGCCAGACGTACCAGACGGCAGCGGGCCGCCAAGGGGCTTGCGCAACACCGCAGGTTGAAGGGATATTCTAGGGCAGCTAGGCGATATCTCACCACCAAGAAGATTGAGCTGGCTGGCCCTCAGGCTAGCTCTAATTACGGAGTAGATATTTACGGCATTATGGGCTATCAACTCAGGAGGTTACGGCAACGTCTTGGGGCAGTCTCAGGTTCGGGGAAAAGCGGCAAATGCCT